AGCTTTTTCTACTTATGTGGTGCTGAGGAATTGAACCCAGGGCCTCATGAATGCAAGGCAAGCACTCTTACCACTGAGCCACCTTCCCAGCCCTGGGTAGGGTATCTTTATCTCCAATCAAGCACAAAAGCACCCCCTCAAAAAATAACAACAACAACAACAAAAACTGGAGCAGAGTTGTGGCTCAAGCAGTAGAGTGCTAGCCTTGAGCACAAAAGCTCAAGGATAGTGTCCAGGCCCTGAGTTCAAGCCCCAGTACTGGCGTGTGCGCACTCGAGTGCGCGCGCGCGCACACACACACACACACACACACACACACACACACACACACACACACCACAAAGAGGAAGATAAACCCTATACTTCCTAATTAGCATCTTCCAAGGAGTCTGAGGCATGGTGGTATTGGGGAGAGAGAGATAGGGGAGAGGTTGTTTTGCCCAATACTTATATACAAATATACAAACCAGTCTCCTTGAGAGGCAGGGTGGGCGAATACAGTCATAACATTCAATGTATGTATGTGAAACTGGAGCCAGGGAACTTGAAGGGGTGAGTATGGTTGGGAAAGATAGAGGAGAACATGAAAAGGGTGACATTGCTTTTAAGATACATTGTATTCATAAATAGACGTGTTGAATAATTCAACTATTCAGTTATATCAATTCAATTATTATCTTTTATTAAAGATAATAAAATAAAAAGGCAAACATTAAAAAGCAAATGTTTCCTGTCAAGCACAGTAGCTCACACCTGTAAGCCTAGTTACTCAGGAGGCTGACATCTGAGGATGGCAGTTTCAGGTCAGCCCAAGCAGGAAAGTCTGTGATCCTTATCGCCAATTCATCAGAAAAAAGGAGGAAGTGGAGGCTTGGATCAAGTGGTAGAATGCTAGCCTTGAGTGAATAAAGTCAAGCAAAGCCCTGAGTTTCAGCCATCCCTCCCTGCCCCAAAAAGTGAAAGACAAAAAATGTCTGATGTGCATGGCCACATCTAAGATGCCTGGGCTATTTGGACCCCTTGACGACTACTTCGGGCAAGAAAAACCTCAGGCCAAACTCAGCACTGCCCATGCTTGTGTGTGATTTCAGAGAAACAGAAGCTGAAGACCACGGACTACCCCCTAATCGCCCGCATCCTCCAGGGCCCCTGTGAGCAGGTGTCTAAAGTGTTCCTGATGGAGAAGGACCAGGTGGAGGAAGTCACTTACGACGTGAGTCCCCTCTGATTGGATGGTCGGTCCTCAGGTGGGTGGGGATTTGGTTGGAGTATAGCATGACTTTTTAGCCAACAACAGGTCCCCTCTGACTGCCATTCTTTAATACCGGGTTTTCTTAGAGACAGTTGAGGGTATGCCCCGTGGGAATTGTTAAAGGTGGGTTAGGGTTAGGGTGAAGGTTAGGGTTAGTGTTAGGGTTATTGTTAGGGTAAGTGTTAGGGTGAGGGTTTGGGTTAGGGTTAGGGTGACGGTGAGTGTGAGGGTTAGGGTGAGGGTGAGGTTGAGTGTGAGGGTTAGGGTTAGGGTAGTGGTGGTGGTGTTGGGAGTGATTTTCACTGAAGAAATGATTTTTTTATCCTTTTAGAGGAACTATAAGAGGTTTGAAACATTTTTATACTCTCTTAAGAGCACCAAGAAGTTAGCAGTGCTGGTTTTTTTTTTCTTTAAAACCTCACCTTATGTATTAGTCAGCCTTTGCTGTAGTAACAAACATCCCTCAAGTCTCAATAGATGGAACAACAAACACTCATGTGTTCTGTATGTGACTCTGCCAGCTGTGAAGCAGCAACTCTGCTCTGGGCTGTGGGTTGGGTTCTGCATCGTGTGTCTCGTTCAGAGACTCAGGATGAGGGGACAGTGGCTACCTGGTGTATGTTCTCTGTGGATGATGGCTGGAGCTTCAGATACCCAGGTTAATCACACATGCTCATTTGAAGCCTCTACTCAGCTTGAGCATACATCATAGCTACACACATTGCAATGACCAAAGTAAGTCACACAGCCACGCTCAACAATAAGGGTGGAGAAATGTCCTTCTCCCATCAAGGAGAGCTGATACAGCACTCAGGTAAGGATTCTGATGGAGAGAAGAAGCTGTCCCTAACTTTAACTCATCTGGGAGCCTCTCACAGTTGTTCAGAAGCCAACTTCCACTTGCTTGAGACCTAAGACAAATTGTTACTCAGAACCACAATAATTCCTCAAATTCGCGCAGGGGAGAATAATGAGGTATACACACATTTTTGTTATTTTGTTCTTTGTTGTTGTTTTCTTGCCAAGGGCTTCGTACATGCTAGGCAAGCATTCTACCTCTGAACTAACCCCAGCCCTAAGGGATTTATTACATGAGTTCAATTTATTCTCTGTACCACTATATCCAGAGAAAATGCTTTTCACTATTGGCCATCACTCAAATCGTGAGTTGGAGGCACAAGGTGGGAAATGAGAAGTTGTGACCTGGTGTCCTAGAAGTCATGCAGGTTCATTTGCAAGGTCTGGCTCTTGCCTTTAAGGGTTAGTGGGAAAACAGATTTTTCAAGGCTGTGTGCCTTCGAGGAGAGGAATACACAAGCCATTGCAATCATGCCGGGAGGGCTGTGTACCCCAGATTGACTTTGTCACCTTCCTCAGGTGGCCCAGTATATAAAGTTTGAGATGCCTGTCCTTAAAAGCTTCATTCAGAAACTTCAAGAGGAGGAAGATCGGGAGGTGAAGAAGCTGATGCGCAAGTAAGTATGGCCCTATGGTGCTGGTTGGGTTTCTCCTTGGGCTTCATCAAGAGGGGTCTCTGTTTGGGTGCCCTGCAGGGCTACTACTGGGCTGCTGTGTGTGACTGGGTCTTGTGGGTTTTAATCAGGGGATACCTATTCATAAATCTGATCTCAGATAAGGACATGAAATTTAATTACTGTTGTTTCCCCTACTTTTTGTGTCAGTTTGGGGGTGGAGGGGAGTGCGTGTACTCTTGTGTGCTTGTGTGCCAGTACTAGAGCTTGAATCAGGGCTTGGCTTTTTATTTTTTATTTTTTGCCAGTTATGGTGCCTGAACTTTGGGCCTGGGCGCTGTCCCTCAGCTCTTCAGCTCAAGGCTAGTGTTCTACCACTAGAGCCACAACACCACTTCCAGCTTTTTCTGCTTATGTAGTGCTGAGGAATCGAACCAGGGCCTCGGGCATGCAAGGCAAGCACTCTACCACTGAGCCATCTTCCCAGCCCCAGGGCTTGGCTTTTTAAAAATCAAAGTTGATATTCTTTTTCTTGCTCTTTTTTTTTTTTTTTTGCCAGTCCTGGGGCTTGAACTCAGGGGTACTGTCCCTGAGCTTCTTTTACTCAAGGCTAGCACTCTACCACTTGAGCCACAGTGCCACTTCTGGAGTTTTCTTTTTATGTGGTACTGAGGAATCAAACCCAGGGGTTCATGCATGCTAGGCAAGCACTCTACCACTAAGTCACCTTCCCAGCCTGTCAAAGTTGGTATTCAACCACTTGAGTCACACCTCCAGCCTGTCAACTACTTATTTTGATATGATCATCAAAATATCTCCCCTCCCCCTTCCTTTTACAGAAGAACTCCAAAACATGTTGGTTTAAAATCTCTTTGGAATCTAGATTCTTTTTTGGGGTGGGGGTCTAGTCGTGGGTCCAACTCTGGGCCTGGGCACTGTCCCTCGGCAATTCAGCTCAAGGCTAGCACTCTACCACTTGAGTCACAGTGCCACTTCCGGCTTGTTCCTTTTTGCTTATGTGGTACTGGAATCGAACCCAGGGCCTCATGCATGCAAGGCAGGTGCTCTACCACTGAGCCACCTTCCCAGCCCCATGAAATCTAGATTCTTAAATAGGATTGTTGCACTCACCCACAGGCCATGGTCCCCATACCCAGTGGTGGCTAGAATCTCTTCTATAAAACACAGGCACTGGTTGTATAAGGCTGAGTCGTATGAAGTTTTCAATTTGAGAATTGCCCCTCCTGAAGGTAAAATATTGGCAATTTCATATAATGCACACTGGATGAAGGTTAGTGAGCCACTGTGCTTATAAAGCTCTGTGCACAGTTCCTTGGTCATAGTAAGCACTCAGCAGGGCCCTTATTGCTGCTGTTGATAGCTTCACAGGTCTATCCTTCTTTTGCCAAGCCTTCCTAACCATCATAGAATGATCTAATTAGGAGTTGGCATCTTTATTCCTGCTGAGGAAATGAACACAAGCAAGGAAGCAGCTAGACTATGTGGCACACACCTTCCCTGGTGTACCTGCTATTACTTGGGTTCTGGGAAGGCCCCCAAGGAGGGGCCGTGTTCCCCACTGGCCTCTACTACAGGTTGTTTCTTGCCCCCAGGTACACTGTGCTCCGGTTGATGATTCGACAAAGGCTGGAGGAGATAGCCGAGACCCCAGCAGCAATCTGAGCCACAGGAATGAGGGGATCCAGACACCCCGGGGGCTGTCACCAACTAGAGAAGACACACAGGAAGCCAGCCACTTTCTTTCCCTGGAAACATTGAAGCACAACGCTCTCTAGCTCCATCATTTGCTACATGGAACAGGATGGGGAAGCCAGCAGACAACTCCGCACCCCTAGATCCCTGGTTCCCTCTTTTTCACTTGTAAGGACTTTTATTTCTGTCTGGAGGACCGAAAGTATGTATGTGCGTGTGTGCATGTGTGTGCACGCACGCAATGCAAGTCTATGTGCCTCACTGTGTTTTACACATGCAATTAATTCCAAGCAACCAGCACTGGTGCCATAAGGCTGGCAGAGGCGCTGTCCTGGGCAGAAGAGACAGATGAGGGGCTTTGGATGAAAGAAATCTTTTTCCCTTCAGTGCCTGGGCAGTCACCAAATTGGTCTATGTGTGGAAGAAAAGAAGTTCCCAACCAGCTCACCCTTTGAGGACTTGTAAGTTCAAAGAAATTCTCCTGTTGGGCACTGTGGTCAAGCCTGTAACCCTATCTATTCAGGAGACTAAGATCTGAGTATCCCTGTTCAAAGCCAGCCTGGGCAGAAACATACATGAGACTCTTATTTCTAATTAACTAGCAAAAAGCCAGAAGTGGAGCTGTGGCTCAAGCCAGAAGGGGCTCCGTGGACTGCTCCCACGCACTCAGTTCAAGCTCCAGTACTGGCACCCATCCACATACAAATAAATTCTCCCTGTATGTCTTGAAGGATGAGGTGAACATAAAATCCTTGGAAATGAACATAACAATAGCCAATTTGATGGCAAGGAAAAGATCATGGGATAGATGCAATGAGCTGACAAGTTTTTACACTGGAAATGTTCATTGATCACTTTCAGTAAGAAGAATGTGCAGTTGTGGATGCCTGAAAAGAATGCATGCAGCCTCTGTCTACACTCCATGGCCACTGTGAGACTCAGCAGAGCCTGCCTTTTTCACCCCGCTGCCAGTCCATTTCCCTGGTGTCCCCTTGGAGTAATGAAGGTCTCAGGAGACAAAAGTGTCCCCATTGGCCATGTGGGCCGAACTGGCTCGTGCTTAGGGCCTGACTTGATCTGCGTTGGTAGACAGGAAATTTCCAAGATCCATGCTTAGTGAAAGGGCAGGGTAGAGGCCACCTGTAGGGAGGGCAGGTGCCTGGGAACAGCCCAACTTCCCATCAGGGAGAGCCTTCCTGCACTGAGAGCTGGGGCTAAGTGTTTGCAGTCAAGGTTTTATTCTTCCCAGACTCTGGGTTCTTGAGAGTGAAGGCTTTCTCCAAGGAAGGTTTGCAGAGCTGGGGGGCTGAGGGCAGGAGAACCACTGGCCAGCACCCTGAGGGAAAGGTGGGCCTGTGGGAGAGACCCTTTCCTGCCCTAGGCACTCTCCTCTCCCCAGACATGCCTGTGTTTTTGGCCTCCAAGGCCTCTTTAAATGCCTCTCAGTTGTAGTTTCTCCATGAATTTTCAAAAAGATAGCATGCTGCCACTGGGCACATTGCCAAGGATCTCTTAACAAGCCTACTTCCTCCCCAGGGGCAGCGCCCCTTATTCCCCCCAACCCTGGAGAGTTGAAAGCCAGAGGGGCTGAGTGTCAAGCACACACACACACACACACACACACACACACACACACACACACACACACACACACACACACACACCCTCAGTGGATTCCCCCCTCCCCAAAAGCACAGACTTGAGGGTGGGGGCGGGGCTAAGGGGCGGGGCAAAGCTCCCTTTGTCACTGATGAGAAAGAGCAGTTTTATGTTCAGACATACTCCCAGATTTGCATGTGTGTGTGTGAGGGGGGGGGGACGGGACTTGGCTGAGATTTTTTTTTTTTAATCTCTCTTCCAGTTATTTTTATCTTGAATGTTCAAAGCCTTCATCACTCCAGTAATTCTCCTTTTTTTGGGGGGGGGGGCGGGGAAGGTGTGGCTGAGAGGAAGAATTTCTGCAAAGCAAATGACTAACTACTAACTCTTCTTGGACAGCTATTTCTGGTTTATAAAAGTTCTCGTAATTTGCACTAGCTCTCTGATCTGATCCTGTTAGATATGGAAATGTCACAGAATGCCAGTTTGCCAAGTCACTTTCCAAGAACATGAGACCAAGGAAGACTTGGCTTTTAAAGGTAGGGTTCAGGGCGGAAGTGGGAGGTAGCATGTTAACTTACCCCACATTTTCACTAGTGCAGACCACAACAGACATCAGTTTCTCATATCCTGATGATCTGATCATGGATTTTGGAAACAGCTGGGCACTGGTGGCTGGCTCTAGCTACTCAGAGGGCTGAGATCTGAGGATCACAATTCAAAACCAGTCAGGGCAGGAAAGTCTATGAGACTCTTGTCTGCAGTTAGCCAGCAAAAAGCCAGAAGTGGAAGTGTGGCTCAAGAGGTAGTGCCAGCCTTGAGAAAAAAAAAAAGCTAAGGGACAGGGCCCAAGCCATGAGTTCAAGCCCCAGCACCAGCACATATACACACAAATTTGAAACACAGCTAGGGGTACAGCTCAGTGGTAGGTCCCATGTTTAGCAATGCATATGGCCTTGGTTTAAACCCCTGGCACCTTTGAAGCAGCAGCAGTTGAAATGCTACATCGCAAAGACCAGCTTTTCTCAGTGTATTACATAGCTGGCAGCTTTCAGGTCCTCAGCTGATTTGTGTGGGTTATGTAATTGTGTGCAATGATCCTGAAATTGTATAAAAAATACAGACCCCAAAACCATCTAAAGACCAATGTATAAGGATTTTGTTTTGTTTTGTTTTCCCCCTACTTATGAAAAGCAGTTTAATTGCATCTGGCTTTTGTTTTCTTCCACCAAAGGTTCAAGTTACTAGGAGATCAAGTGGAGGAAAAGGCCCCAGTCCTTTGGCTGGGATGGGGGCGGGGTAGAATTAAGCACAAGGTCACATTCTCTGTGATCAAGTTCACAGAGCCGTGATGACTTACAGGGCGAAGGGCTGCTACTTGGGGAGCAGAAGAGAAGCACAAAAGATAGATTGCCAAGGTGTTGGTAAAGAGTGTGTACCCTTGCTGGGCACTGGTGGCTCATGGCTATAATCCTAGCTACTCAGAGTCTGAGATCAGAGGATCCCAGTTCAAAGCCAGCCCAGCCTACCCTCCCCCCCCAAAAAAAAAAGTCCATGAGAGTCTTCCCTCAGATAAAGCAGTAAGTAAGGCTGTAGCTCAAGTGGTAAAGCACCAGCCTTGAGTGAAAAAACTTAGGGATAGTGCCTAGACCATGAGTTCAAGCCCAAATACCTGCACAAAGGAAATAAAATACCCTGGTTTCCAGGCTGGTTGGACTTCAACTTGGAGTTGAGGATGAATAGGAAGGAAAACCAGCTCTCCATGATAAATTGGCTAAGGCTCCAGGTCAAGGTTAAGTTTTAAGATACACTGAAGTTTCAAAAGGAAATGGTGGTACAATTCCCTCCTTCCTACCAAAAAGAAAACAATACCCAGTCCTGGAAACTTCCAGATGAAGATATTTTGTCATTGTGCTTGTGATGTATGATAACATCTTCCTTCCAAACCCATTCTCTGTGTAAGATATCCTGATTGATAAGAATTGTTTTCTGTGGAGTTGAGTGGTTATTTGGTGTCAGGAGAATGGAAAGAGAAAGGAGGCAAAAAGGGAAAGGAATGCGTGTGTGTGTGTGTGTGTGTGTGTGTGTGTGTGTGTGTATGGTGCCAGTCTTGGGGCTTGAACTCAGGGCCTGGGCCTGTCCCTAAGCTTTATTTGCTCAGGGACTTGAGCCACAGCTCCATTTCCAGCTTTTTGGAGATAAGAGAAATAAGTGTCTCATGGACTTTCCTACTCAGCTGGCTTTGAACCACAATCCTCAGATCTCAGCCTCCTGAGTAGCTAGAATTAGAGGCCCGAGCCACCGGAGCCCAGAAGGTCCTTTTAAACCAATAAAACCAGCTGGCCAATTAATCATTCAGCTGACCAACCAACCAATCAAACAAAGAAAGAAAAATGAAACAAATAACTCATATTTTATTTCAAAGTTTTGTAACCTAATTTGGTGTGAAGGATATATCTCAAAGAAAGAAAGAAATCTCTATATGACCAAGGGAATTTCAATGTCTCCTGTGACCAAACAGTAAGTTGAGGCAAAGATAATAGAGGGGCTGGAAAGGTGGCTTAGTAGTAGAGTGCTTGCCTAGCAGGCATGAAGCCTTGGGTTCAATTCCTCACAGAAAAAGCCAGAAGTGGTGCTGTGGTTCAAGTGTTAGAGCACCAGCCTTGAGCAAAAGAAGCTCAGGGACAGTGCCCAGGCCTTGAGTTCAAGCCCCAGGACTGGCTAAATAAATAAATAATAAAAAAATTAAAAAGACAATAGAGATCACCAGAACCTCTCAGCCATACAAAACTTCCACGTTTCTACTTAAATTGTTTCTTGCTTGAGTCAGAGGAGATGGCTTTTCCTAGAGAGGCAAAAACAAGCATGAAGGTTTGTTTCAGATATAAGTGGAAATGTTTACTCTGTCCTGGGATATTAAAATTCTCCCTTCCAGGCTGGGAATGTGGCTCAATGGTAAAGTGCTTGTCTAGCATGCATGAAGTCCTGGGTTCAATTCCTCAGTACCACATAAACAGAGAAAGGCAGAAGTGGACCTGTGGCTCAAGTGGTAGAGCGCTAGCCTTGAGCAAAAAGAATCTCAGGGACAGTGTCTGGGCCCTGAGTTCAAGCCCTAGGACTGGCAAAAATAAATAAAAATAAAATTCCCCCTTCCCTTCCCAGGCTATTTTTCCTTCCTTCCTTCCTTCCTTCCTTCCTTCCTTCCTTCCTTCCTTCCTTCCTTCCTTCCCTCCTTCCTTTTTTTCTTTTTTCCGGTTGTGGGGCCTGAACTCTAGGCTGGGCGCTGTCCCTCAGCAATTCAGCTCAAGGCTAGCGCTCTACCACTTGAGCCTCAGCACCGCTTCCAGCTTTTTCTGCTTTATGTGGTGCTGAGGAATCAAACCCAAGGCCTCATGCATGCAAGGCAAGCACTCTACATTCCCAGCCAGCCCCCGGCTATTTCTAAACTGAGCACAGAGATGCACACACTGTGAAGGGAAGCCCCAGTTTCCCCCTGGAGTTTCCTGGCAAATCGCAGACCTGTTTCCAGGCTGGTGGTTTCTGGTGTGTGTAGTTGCTAGCGTTTCTTAAAGGTTTTGTGAAGTATACTTTCTTATTTTTGTGGAATATACTTCTTATCAGTTGCCTTTCAGGGATGGAACATGATTGACTGGGTTCAATGTTTGGATCTGAAGTGAAAACCAATCCCTTTAGACATCTTAACGTAATTTGACAAGGCCTCATAGGGAGCCATACAGTTTTGTAACCTTTTGATATGTGTTAAAGCACCTGACTTAGGTCTCATTGAAATAAAGCACTTTTCAAAGAGAAGTCTCCTCGTGGATTTGGGCTGTGTCTCTCCTGGGAGGGGAGTTCTGTGTGGGGAGAGAGTGTTTGTAAAGCTAGAGGATGGGAACTTGAAGTTGATTTTCTTCCCTCAGAGTTTGTTTGAATAAGCCCAGAGCTAACTGTCACATTGCCGTTGTTCATTTTCTGTTCTTATAACAAAATGTCAGAGACTGGAGAGTTTAGAATGAACAGAGGGTTTATTTAGCTCATAGTTTCAGTGGCCAGGAGGTCCAAGAGCACAGAGCCAACATCTGCTCAGCATCTGGGAGCTGGCTGGCTGGTGTTATAATATCAAAGAAGGCATCACATTGTTGACAACAGAGCAAAGCATCCTAGAGAGAGCTACTTCATGATTTTGTTGTGTGGTATGGGGGAACTGAGCCTAAGGCATCATACATACCAATCCTCCCCCTCAGGAACTAAGATTATAGGTGTGGGACACCAGTGCCAGCTTGGACTCACCTTGTAACTTAAAGTCTGTTCCCTGATGTTTTGAATGACATCAGAATCACAAAGGTAAACAAGCAGCTCCACAGCAACCTCAATGCAGCACAGCCAGCCAGGCACTGGGGTCCGACTCCTCATCCTAGCTACTCAGGAGGCTGAGATCTGAGGATCACAGCTCAGAGCCAGCCTGGGTAGGACAATCTCTGGGACTAGTCTCCAATTAGGCAGCAAAAAGCCAGAAGTGGATATGTGGTAAGTAATAGAACACTAGCCTTGAGTGGAAAAGCTAAGGGACAGTGTGCTTAGGCCCAACCTAAAGTTCAAGCCCCAGGACCATCACACAGAGAAGCAAGGAAGAAAGGAAGGAAGGAAGGCAGAAAGGAAGGAAGGAAGAAATAGTTTAAAGAACTATACAGCTAACAACAACCAGCAAAACCAAAATTAAAAACAAAAAAAAAACCCCCAAGACTTACATATTGAGAGGAGATATTTGCAAAGGGGTTAATAATAGAATTGCTACTCAATAACTCATGACTTTGAATGTCCTCTTCTGATCACTTAGTCCCTTGGAGGTGCCCTGGTGCTACCCGCCCACACCACCTGCAGCCAGCAGCGTCTAGCTGTCTTCATCCCAATGATTCTAATGACAGCCTTAGAGATACCTTGACATTTCCCCAGACTTAATTATGACCTGGATTCTGAGATCCTTAAGTCCTAATAAGCTTAATCTTAACCCCCAGCCTTGAACATTGCTCAAGCAGTATTTTTTTAAAATAAAGGTGATGTACAG